TAATCAACAATAGATTTTTATACCAAAATGACAATCAATGAAACATTGAAAAATATAAGAATACATTTTTATAGTAAAATTACCAACAGTATATTTTATGATCTATAAACAATATATCTAAAAACATATCTTTACTCTGAAAATACAAAATATATTCTGTGGAAACCATAAAATTGCATTCCAAATATTTACATTATGGCATAGATGTTGATATGTGGCACCATTTACCAAGGCAAAAAAGAAAAGAAAGGAAAGAGAGGAAGGAAAGAAAGGAAAAGAGAGGCGAGACCCAAACGTGGATGATAAGTAGGACACCCACGACTAAGAGACAATGGATAGAGGATATTTTGATAAGTAACAAATGGCGATGAGTGTCATTACAATGGCAGGCAAATTCTGAGTGGATGGGGTAATCGTTGTGTTCTGGCGACGAGCTGTGTTATCGGGGATACATAAACAAACCGCTAATGCGGGAAGACATCTGATTGGCAAACCACAGATCGACTAGCCAAAGAAAAATCCAATTGAAAATGTTATTTTGATAATTGACAAAAAACAGGTGAACTACAGGGCTTTGGATAGATATGAAAAATTAATTGTGTCGAAGCCGCACACGAGGTGGCGACTGACCGTTTTTCTTTTGACAAGACATCTTTAGCTGCGATAATAAAACTATGTTATCAGAAATGTGCACCAAAGAATGACTGGAACCATGGAAATGTTTTTTTCGGGGCGACGGACGATTGTGTTGTGTCAAATAGACCAACCATTCTGATAATTAGCGATAATCTGACTGACGAAGTCCAGGTGAGAACAAGAGTTATGACCACCACCGATCGCATTGTTCTATTTGCGGCCAGAGAAAATGAGAACTGCGATTAAGGGAAAGAAAAGGGAAAGAAAAAGATAATTGTTTTTTTTTTTTTAAGCAAGGTATTTTTTTCCCCTGAAACAAAGCCCGTGGGATCGCACACGCCCGGCTGGATATCATTGGCCGAGTGGTGATCACGTGACACAAGGAGGAAGCTGTCGCCGCCTATCTAGAGGATGGATATGAGAGGTTGCTACGAAGAAGTGGGGAGGGCAGTTCACGCCCCTCTGAAGTATGGTGAGAAGGTGGGAGTAAGAGAAGGCTCCCAAAAATGGAAAAAAGTGGAAAATTCCTAACCAAAAATAAAAGAAGTGGATAGGTATTTAGAATTATCGAGGAACCCCCTGGCGCCGACAAACCCACCCCGGTTTTGGTCGGCGTCCATATAAGCGAAGTTCCAGCAGAGTTCCAGCAGACAGTTCCAGCAGAGAGTTCCAGAGTTGAGTTCGGGAGAGACAGAGTTCTCCAGTGCTCAAGCCTCGCATCGGCTGACCAAGATTCGCGCAATTTCCGGACTCATCTTCAATCCAAGAACAATTATTTTGAAGAGCGACTTAGATCCAGACCACCAAAATAAGTTTTTTTTTTCGACTTTCGCCCGAAGGCACACCAAAAAAAAACAAACAATTTCTTAAAGAGCAAACAACTTGAAGTGTTAAAACTCGCCTAACGGAAAACAACGTGTCACAATCCATAGAACGGGTCGGGAGTTAGACGCAGTCCTATGTATCCAACAACTAGACATAAAGTTTGTTATCCTTTTCTTTGATACCTTGAACTTTTGAGTTATCATTTTATTTCTTTTATACGTATTTGTGCGATACCACCCGCGCTTGGACCCAACTTGCATTGCGGCCCCAACGACTGATTGATTTCGTCTGCCTAAGATCGATTCACAACGTGGGTGGAGTGGAGATCAACACAGTTACTTTGGTAACCAGGCGTTGGAAGCGAATTGGGAACGACGAGGCTGATATCGAATCTAACCAGATTCCCATCCGAATCACCAAAAGGTTAGAACGTCACATTTGGGTGCCGCGACCGATACCAAGCCAGTTGGTCGTCACAGGACGAGACAACACGACTGGCGCGACAGGCGGACGTCACGTTTGGAGCGGCGACACCCGAACGAAGCAGCGAGGAGCGAGCGAAGGCTGTGTTTAGGGACGTCACAATATGTCACTAATCAAAATCAACAAAAATCAACAAATTAATGCAAGAAATACATCAATGAAACCTGATTTCTTTTAAAGAATACATATCTTATTCATACGAACCTATATTAGATCTTGTCAGCATTAAATAACGCTTAAAATACAACAAACCAAAATTATAACAAAAAATGATTAACATTCGACTTCATTATAAATAGAAAAGATCCCAATTTTTCTACAAACCATATATTTGAAAAGAATATATCAATGAAACAAGACTCTCGACAAGAACCCCTTTTAAAAAATACGTCAATGAAACCTGATCTATAAACTGATTTCTTACAGGAATCCATGTTCTATCCATAGAAACATATCCTAAAAATCTTGTAAGCATTAAATAACCCGATGAGATTAATATGCCGTAAAACAAAATAAACCAAACAAAGCTGAGTCATATATTTGAAGTATTTTCAAATCTCTAAGTTTTATTGTCCAATTTTCATTACGTGAAATTTTCTCTGTTTCTCGAATATCTTGTTTCGTTTTCGAAGTAAAAGAACATGATCCAGAAAATATTAGGTCACCCTTGAAAAGTATCGCATAAAATTACGTATCTAAAAGGCAAACAACAGTAGGACGGGGAGAATGCGTCCAGAAACCCAGGAAATGTTGCCATTGTAGTGAAGCGAAAAATAAAGCAAGAACTGAGATTGGAATTCTCAAAGGAATTCTTTGATTATACAGTGTGTCACTAAAATCTAGATACATAGGCAAAAATATATATTTACAATAAATTAATTTTTTAAAATTTTATTGAACTGGAATATTAACAAATAACATCTTCAATGATTTCCATCACTTGTGATGCAAACTTTAATGTGCTTCGCAAAATTTACAATAACTCGTTGCAATAACTCCACATTGCTATCAATTTTAGCACATTCACTCTGTATCAAGTGTGTTGTATCTGTGATTTTCATTTGAGTACAACTTCTTCTTTAGAATATCACAGAAAAAAAGTTTTTTTCTTCTTTCAACAAAATCGTGTTTAATCTGTGGCGGTAAAGAATATACTTAATGTAATTTAGTATGTGTCCAGATTTTATTGACATCCTGCACAATGAATTGGTCAGGATCGAGACATCTAGAAGAAAATCTTTTTTTTAACTACAACCTGTTTTTTTTTTTTTATTTAAAAAAAGTATCATCTAACTCTCCTCCCAGATGAAGACGAGATTTGTAGCAACGGAAATGTTATTTTATTTAAGGATGCTGAGAATGCCATTGGGTGAACATGTGAACAACGGAGAAGCTGTAATGAAAATGGAAACAAAAAGGAGTCTCATACTTTACATAAATGGAAATTTCTAACTCGCATAACGAGGAAAGAGGGCCTGAAAAATTTGATACTCAGAGGACGGTTTGACGACACGGGAGACAGAGAAAGTCATGGTATGACCTACTAATTGAGCTTGTGTAAATGGATGGACGAATAAGTTTTCGGAGAGAAAGCAAAAAGAAAAACTTGACTAAGGACGGCAGAAGACAGGAAATTATAGAGTACCATGATCGCCAACATCGTGAAGGGACACAGTTTTTTGTTTTTAATTATGTTTAATAAAATAAATGATGAATTATTAAATTCATTCTTATAAAATTTATTACTTCATTAAAAAATAAATTACATTAAGAAATAATCAAAAACAAAAGACTGCTACATTTTGTTTTGCATTTTTCGATTTGCTTTTTAAAAAGATAATTAAAAACATGCGTTTTATTGAATTAAATTTTATATTTTAATTTACTTCATTAAAAATAAATTTATTTACGATTTACTTTATTAAAAAGAATAGAAAACAAAAAACTAGTTCATATTTTACATAATGCCTTTTCAAATGCCTTATTTGAAAAAAATATTCACTAATTAAGATACTAATCCTTAATAAATTACTTTTATTCGGTTATTAAAAAAAAGCAAAAAGTTACGTTTTTCTAGTGCTTTGTTTCGGTTCTGAAAAGTCTTGGCTGTCAGTCGGCGGTGTTGCATCGGCGGTTCTGAGTTGTCTTTGCACTCCTTGATAGAAACATGAAAAAATAATTTTTCCTTATCATTTTTGGCCAATGAATTCGTCGGCCATGTTGTGAAGAATCTTTGATTGAGATATTGCGAGGTAATTATATTGCATACACAATAGATGCAAATTACGCTCACAAGCTTTCCATGTGGGGATTCAAATAATTTTCTTTCATAAATCAGCGTTTTCTCTTGTCGGTACTCTTCTAATTACAACTGGGGTGATATGGGTGAAAAATTCGAGACACGCAAAGATAGAATTGATTGTTAGTTCACTATGCCTACCTTTTCTTTCCAGATTCTATTTTACATATTTAAAAGTCTACCATTCACCCTTTCTTTGAATCTGGTCAGTTTCTCCTACTATGTATTTAGAGAGCGTTGATAAAATCTAAAAGACAATCTGCAATGTTACTGTTCCTGACCTGGCATCTCCGCTCCGCTGTATTCCCAGCGCTCAAACGTAGCTTCTCTGTGCCTTTTCCATAAATACTTTCATGGTAATTGTTCTGATGAAGTTTACTCTATGGCTAAGTTTAAGATGACACAGATTGAAGAACTCCGTTCTCCTATCTCCCCCTCCCTTTAAGCCTTGAGTCACATTTCTGTATTCTGCAAAAAATAAATATTACTTTCCTCTATAGTATGTAGATTTCATGAATTTCAGGGCAGTAGCAGATTGGTGGTGATGTCGCAGCATTTGAGAGGGGAAATGGCTAGATGCAACCGTAAGTACTTTGCAAACATTTTCTTCACCCGTTTTCACTCTTATCGAACTCTCTTCAGACTTTTTGCTTCTAAGTCAAATTTAATCTTCAAAAATGTAAATGCAATCGTTACTTTCTATTTTCTACATTTTTATTCTTGTTCTTTATTGTCTTCTATCTTTTATTCTTTTGTTCTTTTATTGTCTTCTACATTTTATTCCTTTGTTCTTTTATTGTCTTTTACCTTTTATTCCTTTGTTCTTTTATTGTCTTCTACCTTTTATTCTTGTTCTTTTATTGTCTTTTACCTTTTATTCTTGTTCTTTTATTGTCTTCTACCTTTTATTCGTGTTCTTTTATTGTCTTCTACCTTTTATTCTTGTCCTTTTATTGTCTTCTAATTCTTGTCCTTTTATTGTCTTCTACCTTTTATTCTTGTCCTTTTTAATCTTCCCTTTTAAAAACCTTTTATTCCTTTGTTCTTTTATTGTCTTTTACCTTTTATTCGTGTTCTTTTATTGTCTTCTAATTCTTGTTTTTATTGTCTTCTACCTTTTATTCTTGTCCTTTTATTGTCTTCTACCTTTTATTCTTGTCCTTTTATTGTCTTCTACCTTTTATTCTTGTTCTTTTATTGTCTTCTACCTTTTATTCTTGTCCTTTTATTGTCTTCTACCTTTTATTCCTTTGTTCTTTTATTGTCTTCTACCTTTTATTCTTGTTCTTTTATTGTCTTCTACCTTTTATTCTTGTTCTTTTATTGTCTTCTACCTTTTATTCTTGTTCTTTTATTGTCTTCTACCTTTTATTCGTTTGTCTTCTACCTTTTATTCTTGTCCTTTTATTGTCTTCTACCTTTTATTCGTGTTCTTTTATTGTCTTCTACCTTTTATTCTTTGTTCTTTTATTGTCGTGTTCTTTTATTGTCTTTTTTTTTATTCTTGTCCTTTTATTGTCTTCTACCTTTTATTCTTTTCTTTTTGTCTTCTACCTTTATTCTTGTTCTTTTTTATTGTCTTCTACCTTTTATTCTTGTCCTTTTATTGTCTTCTACCTTTTATTCTTGTTCTTTTTATTGTCTTCTACCTTTTTATTCTTGTTCTTTTATTGTCTTCTACCTTTTTCATGTCCTTTTATTGTCTTCTACCTTTTATTCTTGTTCTTTTATTGTCTTCTACCTTTTATTCCTTTGTTCTTTTTATTGTCTTCTACCTTTTTATTCCTCTGTTCTTTTTTATTGTCTTCTACCTTTTATTCTTGTTCTTTTATTGTCTTCTACCTTTTATTCTTTTGTTCTATTTTTGTCTTCTAAATTTTATTCGTGTTCTTTTCTTGTCCCGCTCTTTCATGATATATTTTCTCATGTTCTATAAAACTCAATGACACCATGCATCCTTTTCTTTTTTTTTTTTTTTTTTTAAGCTTTTTACCCCAAGCAAGGCAGGAATGCCACTAACACGCAACGGCTTACAGAATGTTGGAGCTAGAGTAAAGAGGCGTGATAAAGGAAAGGAAGAAGGGAAGGACGGGAAATAGATCAAGGGACCTGGAGATGTCGACTCATTTTGCATTTGAATAGTTGGAGATTATAACTATCAGGGAAGCAAGTAAGAGGAAGGGAGTAAAAAAACGGCTACATTTAATCGTTTTGACAGTGAAAGTGAAGGACTGAGATGCCGACCTAGTGGCATGTTTAAATTCATGCAGTTTGAGAACTAGCGAATATAGCTCATCGGAGCAGATACCGTGAAAGTATTTGGAGAAAAGACAGAGGGAGGCGACGGTACGTGGCTTTATTACCTTGCTTGGTGTGAAATGATACAAAAATAGGAGTAGCGGTTTTCAAGCACTCTTTGGCGTGCTGCTGGTTTGAGCAAGTCGCAGTCAGATTTCTTCACAATACAATCTTGAGACCCTATCACTGACTGGGAATTCTATCAATCTAAATATCAATTTTTTTCTTAAATTGCTTTATTTCCGACGCAAATTACTTTCATTATTAATTATGGCGAATCTAATCTTAATCTGATTGCTGCAAATTCACTCCAGTAATGATGGCCTGCTAACCATTGCTCCATGGCGACTCTAACCAACACTTTTACATTGTGAACTAAAAATGTTCATAAAAATTCATCCGACTTCTCTTTGGAATGGTTTTTCTTAGTGCAACACAGCAAAATGGGTACATTGTAGCGCGATTTATAAGAGCGTAATACCTAAAAAAATATTCTAATTTAAAGAATTTATCAATTCTAGTGTCATATGCAACCTAAAAAAATCAGAAATAACTTTTCTTTAATTTGTTTTTATTGATTTGTTTTTTACGGCTTATCCACCTTTCAGCAGGTTATTTAAAACCAGAAAACATTTGTTTTTTAGATGGAAAGAATTTTTTGGGAGATAATGAATTACCGACAAAAGTCATGCTATTTATCCCATAGGTGGGGGAATGAACAGGTTGATTCCTACTTTTCTCAAAGTTATTTGGGTGTAATTGAATATAATGGAGAAGACAGGAACTGGAACGCGGCTCTCCGATTTCTAATTCTGAGCCATTATCCATTACACCATCCACACATCCAAGCTTACAGCACCTGGTATTCCGAAGCGGTCACCCACCTATGTACTAACCAAGCTCGACGATGCTTCAATTCTGGGATCTTACGAGAACAGGTGTTTGAACGTTATATGGCCTTAAGCTATTTGTATTTGCTCAAAAACCTAACAAAAAAAAAACTGAAAAAGGAAAATAAAATGCATTATTATTAATTAATCTGTAAAATATTAAGATATATCTTAAAGTTTATTGTTTTTAAAGCAAAATATTAATTGTTTGTACTTTCTTATTTTTTTCCATAATAAACGGCTTTACACTCCAATATATACAGGAAATATTTTCGAGAAAGTAATATGATTACAATTATTACTAGTACAGAAAAATTTGTAATTATTTTCCGTCGAATACCGTTTGATAGATAACATCGCTAATTGGATAAACAGAATTATATTTGGCGGATTCTAAATTCTCCTTTCATATCCTGTGAGATCGCTTTCAAGAACAACGGTAGGAGAAGCCTATCAATATACTTTTTTGTACAAAATATAAGTGCTGTCGGAAATAGTCATGCCGGTCGGAATATTTAGCAGGCATAGTTTGATACTTAAAGCAATATGGCGACAAAGAGGTAAACAAATTTATACTCGATAGAAACTGATTCCTGAGATAACTGTAAACTGCTGATGCTATAGTGAACAAAATGCTACCATTGTGTTCAACATGGCGGAAATATACAACATGAAAAATCAAATGAAACATGTTTTTTTTTCTTTTCTTTTTTTTTCTTTTTTTTTTTGTTACGCCGTCAGGTCAGTATTACTATTAAATGATCCTTGTAGCCTTGTATCAGATTGAACTAATCTTTGTAACGAATATACTAAGCCATATGAATTTTTTATGAACAATCACGACCACGTAAACATGAACAAGAGAAAACTCGTAAGTTCGGTGGAGAAAACTTGAAAATCTGATTTCTCAAGAATATTTTTTAATAATAAATGTAGAGCTACATTTGATAAACCTGAAAGCTGAATTAGATTTTACTTACATCGTGGAGATAGTTAAGCAACACGACTTAGAAGACAACAAAGAAGAGGCGAAATAATGTTTCTGACTGGCACTGTAGGCTGTAAAATTACAAGTTTCTTCAGAATAGATGATGGCGTCAAAATAAAAGAATTATTGTAACTTATCCGACAAGACGTTTTTTGTCTGCTGTGCAGGTGACAATCAAGAGGATTTGCGATACAGCTTCTTCTTCTTCTTTGAATCGCGTGTCTTCAGAACTTGGGCAATCATGGCTCTTCACAACAGATTTTTTCCCGCATTAGTTTGCCATTTCTTTCTACGATTGACCAGTTGCCATCCAATGCTATATAACCCGGTCTGTCCTGCTATTTACCCATAGCTGGGGGGAGAAGAAGAGGCTTCATATCTTTCCCAAAGGTATTAGCACGTAAGTGAATGTAATGGATTCGACTGGAAATCGTACTCGGCTCTCCGATTCCTCAATCCGAGCCGCTATCCATTACTCCACCGTGCCTTCTTTTTATCCGTATTAGAATAAAAAAATTATTAAGTAAAACACGTTTGTCGGAAGCAATAAAAATGCAGCGAGTGACATTAAAAATAGTTAACAAAATCAGTGGTAGAAAGAATGAAGATTATAAAATGTCAGGTATTCCTTAGAAAGATATATATATATATATATATATATATATATATATATATATATATATATATATATATATATATATAACAATCGATGCCTGTCTGTCTGTCTGCGTGATACTGTTTCACTCAGGATTCATCCAACTGACTTTGACCAACCTTGGCACATACATTGCACAATGTAAGATAGGTTCTTAGCGTAAATAAATGGATATAAAAAAAATCAATATTCGATAAAGCCGATCAAAACTCGATAAATTCAACTTTTTTCCTCTGATTTCGTTCAAATATATAGGTTATGTAGGTTACTTATATCATGACGAGCTCAACGATACCTCATTTTTATTTCTTCGCCACTGCGTTTAGCGAAAAACTGCGAAAAACAAAAATCGATTTCAACACAAATTTTAAACTAAAAGCTCCCTTAATTTTCAAGCAATCTAATACAAACTTCACTCAATAAGTTGATTATTTAACAGTTATTTAATTTAATTAACTTGTGTCTCCCATATAGTGGTAACCTGCGTAATACCTAAAATGGCGATTTTTACTGGTTTCTTTCTTATTTTTCACTGATCTTTCAACCAGTTTTCATCAAACTTAACAGTTGCTTTAGATGTGTATCCTCTTTTACATCCCTAGTATCCCAATGACTAATTGAATTTTAAAAAGTCCAAAACAATTGTAGTCTGAGGTCTGTCTTCATGATTTATCCCTTCATGTCCTTGGCTAACTTCGATTGAATAAATATAGACTACTTCTGTTTTAACAGTAACTGCATTAATTCAAAATGTTCTTTAAGATAGACTCAGTTATATCTATATATGATGCTGTTTATGGTCTATTTTAACTGAACGCTTTTTCTGTTCGACCATCTGGGTATGGCTGCGTGTATAAATGTTAGGGTCCATGTTAAGACCAAAGAAGAACAACACGAACACAAGAGTAGAAATAATGAAGGTATATTACACAAAATAATAATACAAGATGTGGAAGGTGTTAGTATGACTGTCAGTCTGGTTTGGAGTGTACTACTATCGGCTCGACTCGATTCGGTATCTAGCCACCCTCCCACGAGGAGGCACAAGGCCGAGTTTAACATGGGTTTTCCGAGCCCGTAGGCTCGGCCAAAAATGCCCGTAGAACCCGTATAAACGGGATCGGATTGGTCAACCTCCCCGAACGAGACTCTGCCCTTCGGCGGAGCCTCGTACGGGTTCCTCTCTGCTCAGAGGCAAAAAGTTCGACCATCAAGCCGAGAAGCTCGGCTCGATTCGACCCTCTCTCTTGAGAGGCGTAGTATACATAGTGTTAGGAAGAGTTCTTTCTTTAGTTATAGGTAAGGACCCATGACAATAAACTAAATATGAATGTCAGTGTGTCACACATTTTCAACTTTACTCCTAGAGGCCGTAGCCCAACGTATCATACCATTTTGGAATCAGGCCGACTCCTTGAGAAAATTAAAAAAATCATTGTGTACCGGATCTGGAACCGCAATACTGAAATTTTGTACTCCCTACTTTTCATTACAACGATTGTTTTCGGCGATTTTTTACGTGATTTTTTGCAACGATTTTTTTTTTTTTGTATGACAATAATTTTTATAATTTGGAAAAAAAAAATATTTTTACACTTTCATAGTGTTTTGACCGCAGTTTGGGTGTTAACTATTTATCCATAGCTGAGATCCTAACATTTGCTACCACTCCGGGTCAGAATGAACATGGGAACACCAGCAATTAAGAGGTGGTTCTACGCTCCTCAAATCCTCCTGATCGGGCGCCTTGCTGTTGGATGTAGTTTATTTTCTCACTCATGACGCGTATGTAGTTTGATATCATACCCAGGAAAGGCGGGTGTAGTTTATAGTCATACCCAGGACGGACAACGTTTCGGGCGTTGTGTACTCCGGTATTCGTCCGATGTTCCTCATTCTGGTAATGTACAGAGAATTTCGGATTGAATCCGTTTTAAATTTTTTTTTTTTAACTCTGCTCATACTGAGTCTGCACTACTCCTATAAGAGATTGAACTCACAATTAGAGTTTTAGCATATTCACCAAACCGACGTTTTAATACCCTGACCTACTGTTCCGCAAGGGAAATGAATCTGATTGTATCCTGACAATTATACGAAGATCTCTTGTTTAATACCAGTTTTAGTACGAAAACATTGACTTCCACGATAGAGTTTTATCTACTGTCTGCTTGCTCTTGACTCGTCAAGACCTGAGCAAAATAAAGTTTCACAATAGCCAAGACACTGTAGTAAAAACAGGTAATATTTTTCTTTATTTCACCATCAGGCAGAGAGCTATTAAATACACTTCGCAAAGCCCTGTAAATCAGAAGAAACATTATTGCCGTTTTCACACAGCAGACAGTAATTTCCGTGTGTTCTTCAGAGACAAGGTATGATTCACTGCAGTTTAAGCGACCATGGTTAACGTAACCGCTGATGAAAAGAATGTGTACTCGGACAGCGGTTTGATGCCAGCATGCCTATCTCTAAATAACTGTTCTTATTTTCTTGATGATAACTAAATCCGTTCAATGTTTTCAGATGTCTTTGATTGCTTGGGAAATAAGTTCGGTGGAGTTGTCTCCCCTACAGAGCTTCTTCATGACTTGTGATATTCTTTAAAATTACGGCTTTGTTAAGCGTGATGCGCAGTAAATTACCCAGTACAAGTTACGAAAACCCCAGAAAAAACTCCAAAGAACATTAACCATCACACAGATTTATCCATTGACGGCAATTCATCCATATTTTTATACCATTCTATCGAATGAGACAATGCGCTTTCTTAGTGATTGATTTATATCCGAGGTATGGGTAGTCCAATACATAAGCAAATAGACACCATTATTCTCCTTAATATTTTTGAAAGAGTTCTTCTTTATGTACTGTGTCCAAACTCAGGACGTATGCAATCATGGCTCTCCGTAATTTGCTGTCCTTTCTAGCTCTAAATAAATTATGCCTCTAAATTATTTCTCCAAAAATCCTGTCCCGCCATTTATTTACTCTAGCTCAAGTATATACGTTGTTTCGTCTATCCCTCTTGCCTTGAATCTGTTCTGTGAGGATCAGATTTTCCAAGCCTTCCATCCTCATTATGTGCCCCAGAAATTTCATCTGTCTTTTCCTGATATTAAGTTTCCTTTTTTTTTCCATTTTCTCTAAAACCTCGTCGCTGCTCAAATGCTTCGTCCGTGGCATCTTTCTCTAGAACCACAATTTTTTTACTTCAAGTCTTTTCTTCACCTGAAAGGAAATTGTCCAGCATTCAATGACATATAGGAGGACGGATATCACGTAACAATTCAATATTTTTTTTTCCTTTTATTCTAAATAATTTTTCTGTCTCTTAATATTCTGCTTAGCTTTTGGAATGGATCTTTGGTTATTCCATGTCGGCTTCGGATTTCAGTGTCGCATTTTCTGTCCTGAAGGTGTTCG